ATCAGGTTTTATCAGGACATATTCTTTTTCAAAGTATTTAGTGTTCTTTAGGAATCAGGTTTTATCAGGACATATTCTTTTTTCAAAGTATTTAGTGTTCATGAATCAAGACACATGGTAGTGTGTTGTGCAGCCAAAACAACCTGCTGCAGAACACACTGTGTGTTATTAACAGGAGTGATAGTTTAGCGATGTTCCACCTTCTGCAGCTCGGACTGTGGTAATCCAAACTATCATATATTTTCAATGGATTTGCTATACCTGACCCTTACTTCACATATCAAATTTCAAAGCAATCCATCAAGAGATACCTGAGATATAATATCTCCAATTTTGATTGAGTTTCTTCCTATTTTTTCTTTGCACCAAAAGTACGGAAATTTATTTGAGAGAAAACATACTTAACTTTGATGGATTTTTTCAAAGTTGGTACACTGATAGATCTTTTCAACCTACAATTAGGAGCCTCATTTCACATAAATATAAGCCACGTGTTCAAAGTTATTCTACAAAAACCGCTCAAATTTGATGAAAATTTTCGTGCACGCCTACTCAAAAAGTCACGTGAGGTATAGGTCTAACATTTTTGCCACAGCTTCACCTAAAAGTAAAAGCAGACCTTTTTTAGTTCTTTTGTCATTCGGATTAAAAACGACTGATTTAGAGCAGCAAAACTATAAGTGAAAGGACGTGCAGATACATAAGTATTGGTTAAGCCAAGCAAACTATGTTAGCAGTTTCTAGCTTAAGTTTTCAAAATAATCATACGGGTGGACGGTTATTACTGATTATTCAGTGCCAACTTTCAGAATGAATTTAATAAATTTTATGAAATTATCTTAATTAAAGAGCGTTTAGCATAACGTGATATTAGCTTAAGCAATTAGCATAAATAATAATGCTTTATACGGCTGTACCGATTGCATGGGGGTGATGACATGAAACTGTTAATGTAAATTCCATAGCGTTACTATAAAGGAAGCTTTTAACACCGTTTTAGAGAGCAAAAACTAATACCATATATTTAAAAAAATCTGGTTGGTTCTATAAAGTAAAGGTCTCTTCCGAATAATAGGGTTGAAATTTTAAAGTTAATGTGGGTTATTATCGAGTGTTGCTTTCATATTTGGTGTGGTTTGTTGGTGTGTATTGACAAAAAGTCATGATATCTAATAAAAAAAACACCTTAGGTGTGAAAAAAAAGGTGGGGCCAAGAAAGGATTGAATGTGTGACTTAAAATGATGAAATCAAAATTGGCAACCAAACTGGTAGCTACACTTATAGCATTGATAAGAATTTTTACAACAAATATTCATTCATTAGTCAGCCAGGCCGCAAATTTTGTTTTACCCAAAATCATGCCCAAAGTTGAAGGAGGAAGGAGGTAACAATACTTACATATTACATGCCTTAATCATTATTCACCATCTCATAACGTGTGGTTTCAATGCCCAACACAGAAACTAGAAATTACGTCAAATGCTACTCAACATTTAGATTGTAAGATTACACTGTGACTAGAATATAAACCATGTTTAATTTTCTCTCTCTCACACACACAGTTTTAAATTACGATTAGTATAATTTATATAAAATATAAACATGTAAATGCATTTTATAAATATAAGATTTAAAGCTTTATTTATACGTTTTTTGTGAATTATATTGGTCGTGAATTAAACTTGTGTGGGAAACAATTAAAACAACATATAGATATTTTGTATATACTTTTTGCTTCCTATGTAATACATCTTTCTATAGAACTATAACAACATTATCTGAACAAAAATCGCAAATTTTATGGAGGCTAAATCAGTTAAAGACTTTAAACGTGTTTTTTTTATATATCAAATGTAATACACGGTAATCTTTTTTACAAAACCAGTAATCAGCTCAATAGCAGTATTGATTCAGGTTTCACGCAATTGTTCACACGAATCACATAACGAAAAAAATGTTCTTTCAGTTCCCTCTTGATTGTGATACTAGTATTAATAAAAGACCACAGGGTCTCAAAGTTTCAACAAGGAAGCGATGTTATATCCCTAATTTTCAATTGAAAAACTAAAAAGAAGGAAGCTAGTCAACAGTATCCCCCGCCAACTCTTGGACTACTCTAATCGAATAGTAAGACTTGACCTTCACTCTTATAATTCACCGACAGCTTTAAATTGCAATGCACGATTTTCATCGTTTTTTCTTTGCTGCAACAGGAACCTTGGACCCTTGGATCCGCAGACCGGCAAGGGCCTTCTTAACGGTCTGAGCTGTAGAAACACGAGAAGAACCCTCCTTGAAAAATCCACACTAATGAAATACTGACGTCGTTTGCCACCAAATGTCTAAAAGTTTCAATCATTATTTCTAGCGGTTTCAAGCATTATTAGGTTTACGGACGAAAATATCTTTGACAACGAGGGTACACAAAATTTCTACTATGTGAAAATCCCAACCTCTGCCCTTACAAAAAATATATTAAACAGAACTAAATTATCTTAAAGACAACTATAAACTCTACCTTAATAGTTCTTACACACCCTTTTTAATATGATCAATATTGGAGAGTTCTCGGTCAAGTACACTGATAGCATTTCTTAGTCGTCTTCACTATCAACCAGTGTTTTGGTTACGTATGTAGTTTTTCACGTTAGTTGTCGACGCTACACCAACCAGTGTCTTGATTAAATATGTAGTTTCTTAAACAGCCGTCCTTAGCCGGCATTACCCGAACAGAGGGCCCATGTTTGGCTATTTTTAAACAGAAAGGATAAAAATTTCGCTTTTCATGAATCAATAAATGTCAAATACATAAAGGTATTAATACTGAAAATAAAAACATACTGAAATGAACATGTTGTTTGAAGTTAAGCACAAAGCTACACAATAGGCTATCTGTGCTCTGCCCACCACGGGTATCGAAACCCGGTTTCTAGCGTTGTAAGTCCGCAGATATACCGCTGTGCCACTGGGGGCGAAATGAACATGAAATTTGTACGAACAAACCTTTAAATATAATCATTTCCGCCAATAATATGAATTCTAACACTTTCATGTGTGTTTGTTCTTTTAAACCTGTTGTTACAAAACTGTTTTCTCATAGTGCACTTAAAGTGATGCAACTTTTAATTAAGTAAATGAGCGGATATATATCTTCAAACAAAAATAAACTGTAACCTAACATTGTGGGAAAGAGATTAAGTTACAAGTGGGAAAGTTTATCGTTGTTCAACTTATTGTTTTAGATTAAGTTACAAGTGGGAAAGTTTATCGTTGTTCAACTTATTGTTTTAGATTAAGTTACAAGTGGGAATGTTTATCGTTGTTCAACTTATTGTTTTAGATTAAGTTACAAGTGGGAATGTTTATCGTTGTTCAACTTATTGTTTTAGAATAAGTTACAAGTGGGAATGTTTATCGTTGTTCAACTTATTGTTTTAGATTAAGTTACAAGTGGGAAAGTTTATCGTTGTTCAACTTATTGTTTTAGATTAAGTTACAAGTGGAATGTTTATCGTTGTTCAACTTATTGTTTTAGATTAAGTTACAAGTGAGAATGTTTATCGTTGTTCAACTTATTGTTTTAGATTAAGTTACAAGTGGGAATGTTTATCGTTGTTCAACTTATTGTTTTGTATTGTTGTTAACCCTTTTATTAACAAAAGGGAAAAATTGCTTGTGATTAGGACCTATGAGAAACAATGCACTTGTACATAAGTACTCATCTCATTAGACGATAAACAACTGAGTACACAACAATGTCAGATCTGATATTAAATTAGTGGCTGAATACACAACACTGTCAGATCTCATGTTAGACAAGTAACAGCTGAATATATAGCACTGTCAGAGGCCCGGCATGGCCTGGTGGTTAGGGCGCTCGACTCGCAGTCTGCGCATCGCGGGTTCGAATCCCCGTCACAACAAACATGCTCGCCCTTTCAGCCGTGGGGCGTTATAATGTGACTGTTAATCCCACTATTCGTTGGTAAAAGAGTAGCCCAAGAGTTGGCAGTGGGTGGTGATGACTAGCTGCCTTCCCTCTAGTCTTACACTGCTAAATTAGGGACGGCTAGCGCAGATAGCCCTCGTGTAGCTTTGCGCGAAATTCAAAAACAAACAAACAAACACTGTCAGATCTCATATTAGACAAGTAACAACTGAATATATAACACTGTCAGATCTCATATTAGACAAGTACCGGCTGAATACACAACACTGTCAGATCTCATATTAAGCAAGTACCGGCTAAATACATAACACTGTCAGATCTCATATTAGGCAAGTACCAGCTAAATATACATGTCAGATATCATTTTAAAATATCTTTATGAACTGTTTTCGAAATTAGTCTACAGTTTACTTGCAAATACATCACCACTATATAAACATAATGTACAAAGTTTTGCATTAACATTTGGAAACAACTGAATTAAAACCTATAAGCCAAAAGCACTTGTAAAACAAAACCAAGATACTTGTTTTCACATATGGCTTAAGATGACAAACATCAATATCAAATATTAACCTAAAGTTATTATAAAACGACACTAGATCTAATAATGTACATAGTTTGAAGTTCTAAATATTTTCTCTTAATTTCATTGTGTGTGCATGCGCGTGCGCGGGTATTATTCATCATCCAGAGTTGGCTGACTTTGTTACCGTGTTGTGATAACTATAAACTCTCTAACGATGTAAATAGGTTATTTTGTTTTAGGATTTTTCCCTGAGAAGGGAAATAAAGATCCTGAAATATGACACGTTTCCACTTCTATATAAACTTTTTGCTTTGAATTTAAAGACACAAGTCCTTAACAAGTTAAATGAGTTAATTGTTACCTTTCACAAAGCAGGGTATGCAATAGCATCTAATGAGGTCATTAGGGATCTATTAACAAATGGAAGAAGGAAGTGGTACATTATCTAATGGTGTCCTTCATGCGGTTTTTGCTTCCTTAATGTGTACCCTCAGCTAGTAGATATAAATAGAAAGACTTACCTTTCTAGCTTCGATGGATGTAATACACGATGAGCGATCGAAGGTATAAACGGCTTGACCATAGGGATTGCTGAGCCACTAACGAGCTTACAAGGCTCTTCTTGTTGATCTCGTGGGTCACTCATCTTCTACAGGTATTTTATCCGTGGTCGTTTGATGCAAGTTAGCTTAATTTACACACTATGAGGGCAAATCCTTTACCAGTGCGTGGACTTCCGGGATTAACAAGGTATTAGATTCACGTAGAAGATCAAACAGCAGCGAAGATTCTATTATCTCCGTAAAAAGTTTGACTTTTTTGGTTCGACTCTTCCAAAGTATTTAACACTTTGAATACTTTGTAATACTTCAGCTTTACACATACATATGTCCTCCAGCAATTTAATTAACCTTTGTTTCTTCTCTATATAAATCCAAATAAAACAGTTATTATTCACAGATGGAAAGAAATGTGTAACTCACTCAACCAGCAACATCAGTTTTGGTGTTTTTAATCAGAAAATAAACTTCCGTATATTTAACGTTTCTGTAAATGTGCGATAATTATCGAAAGTCTACTCTTGCAGGATGAAGACTATCCAATAACGTCTAGCTTGCAAATTAAACAATAAACAGTGACGACTAAATTATATAATATTATAGGTGTATAGCCTATATCTTATTTCTAAGTTACTCTCTAAACAAATTTCTACGTTTCACCAAAGTTTTATAAATGTAGAATTATCTATCTTCTTAAATAGTTACATGTTCAGTAAAACCTATAGAAAACATATTGTACACTTTAAATAGTTCTAAGTTAAATAGATTTGGATCGATAGCACGAAAATAAAAATTCCAACGTCTCTTAAGAGCTAGTTTAAAATTTAGAAAACTCTTAATATCCAGTTTAGACATCTCTTGATATCCAGTTCAGGCATATATTAAAACCAAGTTCAGACATATCTTGATTTCCAATTCAGGCATCTATTAAAAATCCAGTTCTGACATCTCTTGTGATCAAATTCAGGCATATATTAAGACCCAGTTCAGATATCTTTTGATATCGAATTCAGGCATCTATCAAAACCCAGTTCAAACAGCCCTTGTTTTCCAATTCAAGCATCTATTAAAACCCAGTTCAAACAGCCTTTGTTTTCCAATTCAAGCATCTATTAAAACCCACTGCAGACATATTTTGAAATCCAGTTTAGACATCTATTGAATCTCTTAAGAACCAGCTTATGTATCTTTTCAGACCCAGTTCAGGCATCTCTTGAGACCCAATTAGACATATGTTAAGAAAATATCACAACAAAAAAAGCTAAGGCGCGTCTTCAATGACATTTGTGTTTCCTTTAATTCTAAGATGAATGATTTAGTAATTAACTCTGCAAATTGAAATTCTGTGGACTTTCTGCCTTAAAGGTTCGTTTTACCTGACTTTACTGCTGTTGGCAGAGAAAACATTTCCATAGAATCATATCATCCATCAAAACAGATGCTCATTTGAATATGTAAACATCCAAAAGCTCTGAAAGGATGGATTTAGTTAGTTATTCTTCGTTAGAAGACTGATGAACTGTATTATTCTATTTCAAGCTGTCTTTTAAGTATGTAGTAGCGGAATGTATTCGTTACTTCTAGCCTTAGCACAGGATATATAAATATAGACTAAGGCGGTGATTCGCCTCTCTGAATCCTTATTAGCCAATGCTCGACAGGCGGTCAACAGCTCTGTATTGTTGGACTTTCGTGTTTCACCACTTTAAATCCTCGTTAGCCATATCTCAACAGGCAGTCATCTAGTATGTATTGGATAATCATGTTTCGCTTTTGCTTAGTTGTTATAATTGCAGTCCAAACACTTTGTAAAATAAGATTATAAAGGCGTCGCCATTCAAATTTAGTACTGGTAAGTTGTCAACCTGAGCAATGCTAGGCTATTTACCACACGACCAAGATGAATAATTGAGTTTCTAGAACAATAACTTTGGTCTTGGCCGAACAATGACAACAGTATTGTTTGTAATAATATTCATAAATTTAAATTAGCGTTCAGAGCTCATTTGAGTACTAGGGGTCTTAATTTGCAGCAAATCGCCTTCCTTTGCAACTTAACAGGTAATGGGTTATGATGAGCAGCGCTTTAAGTTCCAAGTGAAAGAAAACATACAGTATGATTGTTGTAGTTGTTGCTATGTGTTGTGATTGTTAGAGTTGTTAACACACAGTAAAAACTCTAACGATCACATGTACACACATTACGGGTTGTGTCAAGTCTTACTCCAAAGTGGCGAAGATAACAAACTTAGAAAGTGAGTTTAAAACTCTTGGATGACACAAAACCTATATAAAGGTATTATATTATACCTACAATAGATCCAGCCTAATGAATGACGTGTAAGTCAATAAAAAGTATGACCTCTAGCACGCCAATGATCTAATTATTTTTTAAAAGAAGAAATATGATGGCCTCAAGAAACAAGATTAACAAGAAGAATCCAAAGTATCGTCTAAGCATCTCTCTAATAATATCTTTTTTTGTCTTTTACTCATAATGCACATTACGTCATTTTTCTTGATTAAGATAACTTATAGTCAGCAAAGTTTCATCTCTGTAAAACTGTAGAGACAAGTTTGTCATTTTGATGTTTTGTGCTTCACAATGATCTACAAATAACACTTTGATCCATTGAGATATTGTCATTTTGCTAATTTTTTTAATTATTAGTAATAAGTCAAACAAATTATACCTCTGACAAGAATGAAAACAAAGTTCTGTCATTCTGTTGATTATCGGGGTTCGAATCTCACAGAAATGCGTTTGAATACATTAATTCACGAAACACATTGAAATAATGTATAGAAATTGATAGTCACCAAGCTTTCAAATCAAACAAATTATATGGAACAAAATTCAACTGATTGTAAATATAACATTCCAATAAGTATCACAGGGCCAAACATTTATCTTATCGTAGATTCATAGAAAAATAAGAAGGAAGAATACTTACAGAATTATAAGTCACTAATGTACTATAGTTGCATGAACCCGACTGGTTAGCACTAAAACAAAACATCAGATAAGATGCAAAGAATAAATCGGCGCCAATGTAATTGTGCTCTTGAAAGAAAACAGAAGTGTGAAGAGAGGAATGAAACTGAAAAACATATTTCGATATAAGCGACTCTTAAGAGCGAAGAGACGAGAAAATCAAGACGGAGTTTTTAATAAATCAAAAATTCCTAAAATTTGTGATAAATATCACGTCAAGTGCATATGTATTTTTTTCTACATTCCTTTCATATTGTAGGTACATTGTGGATTCAAAGCCAGAAGCATGTAAAAAATTACATACTACATTAACCTTTGATCTCTTCCAAGTCACTCCTCAAAAGGCCATTCGTTAAATACCAAAACTCGCCAGGTCGGCTGAACGATGAAAGACAAAAGACTATGTGAAATGTTAATTATGCACGAAGTATAACACTTGAAAAGTTAAGTTTTAAACGCCGAAAGCTGGCAAAGACTTAGAAACCAATAGGCTTAAAATTTGTGATAAAAAATCAAGTTAACTGAAGATATTTTGTTTTTCACATCTCTCTTAATTTATCCATTCAAAGTCAGAGGCGTCAATCTTTTGTCTCACACAAGTCACTTCTCAAGAGTCCCTTTGTTCACCACCAGAATTCACCAGTTGTGCTGGACGATAAGAGACAAACGTATTATTTGATGCACTATCTACATATGCAGTATAATACTTTGAAAGTTACGGTTAATTCGCCAAAAGCTGACGAAACTCTTAATTTGTGCATTGTGGATTCAAAATCAAACGTGTGCAAAAATACATGTCAGGTGGATCTTTTGTCTCACACAAGCTACTGTGCTACAGGTCCTTCGTATATACTTCATATATAAATAGCGTTTTAGAGAATCTTTAATTCTCATCATCCAGCCCAAATGATGAGCTATGGTATTGACGAAGGGCCTCTTGGACAGCAATTTGGACGCAAAAAGAAAGATCTGAAATGCTAGTTTTACATTCCTCTTATTTCGAGCTGCAATGGACAAATTAAGAGGAATGTGAAGAAAAAAAGTTTGTAATTAACATGATTAACTCCTGATGCATTCATCAACTTTGAGAAAGAAATTAGAAGATTTATGGTTTTATATGAAGAAGAAAAGGTATGAAAGTCTAAATAAAAATTCCATCTTTTTCTCGCCCTCTCAAAGAGGTATAATGCAGATTATTATTTAGAACACTTGTTTGTTTCCATGTTTTTAAGCGCAAAGCTATACATTGCGCTAGATATCTGCACTATACCGACCGCAGGTATCAAAACCCAATTTTTTGTGTTATAAGCCCCAATTTTACTACTAAGCCACCGAGGGATTTCTCATAAGACTCATGAGATATTTATGTCTTACACAAATGTATAACTAGTGGAAAGGTTATGGTTAAAATTATGAAGAAGAATTATAACCCTTTGTTAATTAGTTTTATAAATTTAACTATTTAGTTATTATCAAAATAGTTCATAGCTCTTTTGCATAAATAATGTTTAAGAAAAGATCGGATAAGTTTTTAAACGATTTGACTATCTGATCTCAATTTTACTTGATTCTAGGTTAGGCCTCGTTTATGCAAGGTCAAAGATGTAAACAAAAAACGCCAACTTGGTGAGAAGGTTTAGCTATGATACTTAGAGGAAAGTTAAATTACTTTGTATAGAATCAGGTGCTACTTTCCCATAGTCAAATTTCAAGAATATTCAACATTTGACTAAAAAACAAATTTGTTTAATATACTTATACATTTATTCAATTGGAGTTTGCAATCGCATTTCGTTATTAATATCTAACCTATTTTTTGTACGTAAATACCACAATACAAAATTAAATAAAAAGAAATGTCGTTTATTTGCTAAATTTTTAAAATATTATACGCAATATTAACAAAATGAAACAACGCTTCACCATTAGTTACACCAGAATTAATTATTTCGTGTCATTAAAACAACTATTTATCATTTGTTTATTTTCGTACAAAGCTACACAATGGCAGGCTGTCCGCCGCAGAGGCTGAATCTCAAATTTTAGCATTAAAAGCAGTCTTGTTTACCACAAAGCCATCAGGGCTGGAGTCATAAGCCGTGAAGCAATCCGTTGAACCACTATGGAACAATCTTTATTCTTAGTTTATTTAATTTCATTAATGTTTTGTGCTTTACTGAATTTGATAGTGATGTTTTTACAATAATTGCTATATTTTACAATGATGATTTTTTCTATACATTGAAGTATCAGTCCATTTTTGACATTTCTAATTATTTTAACTGATGTTACAGTTTCTAAGCTTTTGAACAAATTGTTATGAGTTACTTAATTTGATTACATAGTAACGTTATGTTGTTATTCACCTT